GTACTTGTAAATACTTTTTTTTTACTTCATGGCAGCACACATGTAGGCACTGACCCAGCTGGCTGGGGCATGAGGGCACTTCAGTGGAGGGGCTGCCTGCCAGCTAGTCCCACACTGGAGCACCCTCATGCCCCAGCTTGCTCCTCTGTAGCACATCGAGCCAGGTCAGAGCAGCCCTGGATTGGTAAGGTGTCTCCACCCCCCAGGCTCCCTGCTACCCAGAGCTGCTCCGCCTCAGCTCACTGTGCTGCAGTCCTGGGTATACATTCAAACAGCATGCCCAGGAGCAATAAACTTTAGCACAATATGCACCAGAGTTAATTGTTTTCAATTAATTGCAAATGTAGACATGCCCACTTTGTGCTAATAAGATACAGATCACTGAAGTAAAAGGGTTTACCATATGCCTGGGGCAGGAGAGGAACAAGTCCTGTTTTCAGTATTTGAATAGAATGCGTTTTATAAATAATGTCTGAATACTTAATAGTGTGTTAAAATTGTGATTCATCATTGCACCACTTGGTGCAATCCATTTCTGTTAGGAAATGCATCTAGTGGTTTAATTGTTCAGTGATTGCACTGTTTAGACTTTCAGGTAAATTCATAAATATATATCAAAGCGCTTCACTTTTGATGCTGTTTCACTGCAACGCTGCCTTGAATACTGCAATCCGATTCTTGCCAGCACAGGACAGTAGTTGGGGGAGAGGAGTAGGAAAAGGACAAATACTTAAGCCTTCCCCCAGGCAATGAAGCTCCTTGGAATAATTTGGGTATGTCCTCTCTTCTGGATTAAACTTAATGCAACAAGGAGAAATACCAATATTTAGAGCAAAATAAATGGCTGTGTCTGAATGTGTACAGGACAACTAAAAACATATGGCTAGCAGTTTAGCTCACTGGAAATGGAGATACCCGAGTCAAGGAACTGCACCTGGGCCCTGGCCCTTCTGCAGCCAGTGGAGGGTGGAACCTTTTTCCTGTCCTGGTTTTTTGGTCTTGGTTTGTTTGGACTCAGCCTTGACCACCATTTAGAGCAGTGTGAAGCTGAGAACTGGTCATTGGCGGGGCTAATATTGAGTCCAAGACATTACCAACTGGTAAAAGGAAACTCATCAATAAATGGGGGGGGAGGAGTGAAAAGTCCTGAGATTTAATCACTGAAAAGCGGATACTGCCTTTTGAAAGAAAAGCAGCCAGTGTGGAGGTGGAGCAAAGCTGCCACCTTTGTTTTACTCCTTCTGCAGGAGCTACCTTGGGAGGTGTCCCTGTGCAGAAGAGTCTTTAATGCACGTTCTCTTCTCTTCCTGACATATTTTCACTGGGTTTTGTTACTCTGGCCAGCATTTTCTTCCATTTCTTTTCAAAAGGCAGTCACTCTTCTTTTTGGCTTTTCCTTGCAAAAGCCAGCTATGCATCTCTTAAGAGCTGGCAGAGGTAGAGCTTATTTAACCCAAGTGTGATTCAAGTCCCAGGGAAGCTCTAGTATTTGCTATGGCATTATATTAACCACAATTCATCCAGCTCAAGACTTGGCTCCAGAGCCATTGGAGAGAGGGATGAAAAGGCACAGTGCTTGCTTGAGCGACAATAATTACACCTCTTATACATGTGGTTCCTAGATTGCATTGGCTTGCTTGTTTTGGAGGCCTATTTGCAAGTATTTTTCTAAGGAGCCACTAATTTTAAAATGCCATTTAATTTTAAATAGATTCAGGTAGAATTAAGAAAACGGGGCAATTCTGCACACAGGAGTGTGCAGATGCACCATCTTGCGAGGATCGTGAAAGCAGCACAGTTTGTGGTAGGAATTCCAAACCAACACAAACACAAGGGGAATAAAGACCTATCCTCTCTTTGGCTTTGAGTCTTGCAGCTTTTTTTTTCTGTTTAATCAAGAAATATTCATTTTTGTAAATGTTAACATAAATACAAGGCATCCAAAAACCCTGTTATGAAGTCATGTCTACTTAAGCGCAGTTATGCTAGTCAGCATGTTTTGCTTCAGGAAGAAAGTACTGACAAAATCAGGCCCCTTTTTAAGATGTTTTCAGTGAGATGCTAAGGAACTACTAGTTACTTTTTGAGCATATCAGTCAAGGTGCATCTAGTGGGGATCTTTTCAGTAGCTACTAATATAGCAGAGGAAGTTGATTCAAATAGCTTTTATTTACCCCTGGAAAATCAATTATTTTATATCAGTAGAGGCTTTGGCATTTCCCTAAAAACTGTGCTTACCTCGAGGTCCAAACATATAGTCCACAAGTTCATTTACTTCATGGTCTAAAGCCTTTAGCTGCTCCTAAAAAGGGAGAAAGGAAAAACTGTTGTTTTATACCTCCTGTGGAAAAAAAAGACTATAGAAAAGAATACTTTGCTGAGAGAGTCTTTTACTTGGAAGCATTTCCAAGGCACCCAAAGACTGACATCAATGCTTTAAAAATTAGAAGATGTCTCTTAAAACATGAAAGTACTAAGGCCTCTATTTTGTTGCAGATTCACAGAGTTCCCATTAGTGGAAATAGCATGCACCTACCAAAAGTAAAATGACTGCTGCAGGAAATGAACACCAATGTAAGAAGGAGATTTGAAAAATGAAAATAAGCAGGTTTAATCTGTAACAGATAATTTTGCACAGGAAGCACACAGTACAGGTTTCCCTCGTTTTATGCTGTATGCGTTCCTGGAAAATGGCGCATAACTTGAATTTGCATACAGGGAACCCACTTTACAATGTAACAAATAGGGATACATTCCAAGACCTCCAATGTACTGACTCCCAGACCCATTTCTACCACTTTTAAAAGACGATTTTGGTACTTGCCAATGGCAGACAGTACACACAAGCACAGGGCACTATCATAGTGGGGATGGCAACTACAGAAACACACGTTTCAGATAATGAGAGAAGCACAGATCCACACAGGAGACTATTTGGGTGTGCATCAGTCCCACAATGCACTGCACAAAGCAGCTGACTGTGGGCTTCCACCACACTGATCACATAAGAGTGAATGTATCTCGCATATAATGAATTTTTGGTATAAAAAGGCTCATTGCATCAGAGCAAATTTGCATGTACAAAACTTACATAAAGCAAGGGAAACTTGTTGTGTTTTGTTTTTTTTATTTTGTTTTTTGATGTATACCAGGCTGCCTGGGAATCTTGTGGCGGAGTTGGGGATTGAATCCTGATAACCAGAGATCCAGTATGTCCCGTTAAGTAAAATACACTCCTTTCCCATTTGCTGTTTTCTATATTTCCTTGCTGTGCAGTCTGATCCCTCAGCTGAACAATACCTAGCAACAGCCCACAGTTGGTAAGGAGCAAGGAAACAGACTTCTAAAAATGCCCTGCTGTTCTCTGCAAATTCATTCCTGCCCTGAGAAAATAGAGCCATGCTGCAAATAGAGAAGTAGGCCACTGATCTATGTCTGTAGTACAGGATCTGGTGAAGGGGGAAGGGATATCGTAATAGATACACTTGCTCTTTTGAACACCTTGTCCCATTGCCCCCTCCCACTCCCCCTAAGCATGCTTCCCTCCAGCTCCTGCTGCTTCTACGGGTAAAGAGCTGCCAACCAGCCAGCCAGCGAATGCCCTGCGGCAAGAGCCACGTTTATATATTGGCAGGCTTGGATCCTGCCCTGTTGCCATAGCATTCTGCTCACTGTTACATAGAGCGCATCGGTCCAGGTTTGCTGAGGGAAAGCAACTCTCTAAGCTTATCCCTCTACTATGGGGTATTTGCACTTCTTGGAGGCAGGCTCCTTGAGGATATTAAAAATAAACTGGCTGGTTAATGTGAAGACATCCATATTCCTCTCTGAGACCTCTCTTTCAGCCCTGAAGCAGAAGGGGACAGGATTTTGCCACGCATGGGGTTCAGAAAGAAATTTCTAGAATTCATCTGATCTCAGAAAAACAATTTTGGTTCTGATTTTACAAACTAAAGAAAAGTCTCCAGCTGAAGAGAGAGAAAACAAAGGCTCAAAATAAAAAGACTCTCTCCCTCAGTGTTTTGTTGCTGAGAGGTGTAGCCTTTGAGTGTCGGTGTTGGAGACGGGCATTCTTGCTGCAGAACAGGTATGGAGACCAGCAGTCTTTTTCGCCTTAACTGAGATCAGAAGGTATGTCCATCTTCAGGGCCATACAGATTTTGGGATCTCTACTGACATTACCAGCAGTAGCAGATGTTATGGTCATTTTTTGTGAAATGAAGAACTGTCCTATACAACATTATCTGGACTAGTAAACTTGCTTCATGCAGGCCATCAAAGAGCTGTCACAGCTCCCACTATTTAGTGACCCAGATAAAAGTACTCTTTCACTATCCTGTTTCTGATCCATCCAGCCCCCTGTTATTTCAAACGTAAAAGTTTTATGGAAGGGAAAGTTTGGCCCACTTTCATTTGAGAAGTAGTTTCTGTCAGTGATCTGTACATCTGCTAGTCTACCATGCCAACAAGGAGCTAGTGCAATTCAAGAACTGTTCCAGAAAATCGAATTTATCTTACTTTTTCTGATTCTGTTTAGATATTTCTTTAAATGCCTTGCTTGGATTTGTATGACTTATACTGATGGGTATACAAAGCAGCTTGGGCTCATGATTAGATTATGTAAACCATGCTTGCATATTGTGAAGAATATAAATTACATCTCCCTTTTTATACAGTTGTCCTGCAATTTAATGAGCATGGGTGACGAATGAAAAGTTTGCAATTAGTTGGATGAGAATAAAAATGACACTTTTGAAAGAGATCAGCTTGCTATCTACATGGCTTCCTTTTTTTTCATTGATCAGCATGCATTTAACCATCTACACCTTAGAAAGGTCTATGGTCAACAGGGAACATATCAAATAAAGAACAATCATAAGAGATCAATGTTGCTCTATCTAAATGCATTCAAAGAGCAATTGTGCACGTATATAGTATCTGGAGTTTTTTTTCCCATGATATGCAAGCCTCTTGCACATCTGCGCATGTACATACACATGCACAAGGTTAATTAACTATCTATAGAAGCACAAAGAAAGATTACCAGCTGCTAAACTTACTAAAGGCCAGCTTAATGTATGTCAGGTACATCCAGCAGCAGCTTTCATTTACACAGGCTGTGTTAGAGTGGAAGTGGGGCCAAAAGGCAGAACAGAACAATTTTGCTTCTCTGTTGGTGTCTGGTGATTTATTACTCTGGAGCATTTCTGAGAATTAAAATATAAATGAAAATTTATCTTGCTCTACCTTTTGAAGGCTTTATAAAGATAATTAGGTTACATCCTGTATTATCCTGTAAAAAGTCTGCATCAGCTCTGTGGCTAGAGAACAGGAATGATCTGACTTGAATGATATACTTGGGGATGGTCCTACTTTGAGCAGATGACCTCCTGAGGTCCCTTCCAATCCTAGTTTTCTATGTTTCTAAGATCTCATTGATTTCTATAGAGATGACATGTAAAAATGTTCAGTTTTCTTAAAATACAATTAAAAATGGCTTACAACATACACACATGTTCCTTGTATGCATTTCTGTCAAATCATTCCTGTTTCTCATCAGCCAACCTGCTTGAACTGCCAGGGTAAAGATGAACATATGTTTTATTTATTTCCCACTACTTTACAGAGCTCTGGCCTTGGCATTACCATCACTTCTAAGTGATTTAGGTCAAATGTTTTGACAAATGCACGTGAAGGACACATCCAGAATTATATGAGTTCATGAGAACAGCTCGACTGTATGCAAAATCAAAGGTCAATATACAGTTTCAGATTCCTTATGATGTATTTATCTTTGCAACAAAAGTAGAAATGAATGAGCGTCAATAAAATGTGCTTGTGTGAATACTATTTCCAAGCTGCTTGTACTTTGAACATTTCTGCAAGGTTGATTGCTATGGAAAAACAATCAATCTTATGCTCTGGCCCTATGTTCATATCTCCCTGTATTTGTTGCCTTTGTTTCCTAATAAGTATTCCTATGAGCAAAGCAAAAATAATCTGTATGCCACCCAAACAGTGTATATTTTTTCTGCACAGTTATCAAAATATTATCAATATGCCAATGAACTTTATTTGGCAAGCATCTCCCTGCCGGGGCAAACTGAAAAAAATGTTTAAGTAGCTAGGTCTTGAATTAATGGGGACACAAAGTGTTTTATTCTCCCATGGGACTGTCTGAATTCAAGTATGGTAATGTTCATGATGACAACATGTAAAAACTCCCAGCTATCTGTCAGGGAACTATTACCCTAAAGTGATTTGTGATTACTGATTAACCTAACTAACACGCAGGGACCAAGTTCTGCTACGGTGTAAAACAGAGACGTACAAGTAACTTAAATCTAAGACTCCTTGATCTTAGCTTAGCAGTGCCTGGAGCTGTCCTGTGGTGCTCAGCAGTGATTCCCTGGCTGAGGGAGGGATGACCTTACTTACCACAGGGACCCCGTATGCACAAGCATGTTGTCTGCACAGTGTAGTAGCTAGAAAGAACCCTAGATTTCAAAAAATGTCTTATGGGGCTCTCCTGGGCTAGTAAGGGGAAGAACCATTTGAAATGTGTGTATTTTGCCTTGAACATTTTATTTTGCCATGACATTGCCTTGAACACAGAAGTATAAGACTGTCAAATAAATGTATGCAGTTTGGTGTGGGTATTCATGTGACTTCATGTTCTGCTTTCATGATCTTATTAGCTGACTTTCTGAAGAGATAGTAGACCCAGTAACTCATGCTTGTTACTGCCTGGTCAGCCGTGGAACCTTTTACATTGGACTTCTGCATGAGGGGAGCTTTTATAGCTCATGTAGTGTTTCATAGCTCCAGCCTCAAGAAAATACTGGATAATATGCAGTGAGGAACAACTTTGCATTAACGTGGATGTTCCAGATACCTTGCTATATTTCTTTACCATCTTTACTCTCTGTGTTCCATCCCTAAGCAGCATTGATATGGAGACACAAAGCCTTAAGTCCTTAACTGAGTAAATCTCTTATTGAATCAAATGTATTTGACTACTATTACTTTTTTTTCTTTGTAATGTCCCCAGTGTAGTTAAGGATTTTTCCCTCCTTGATATCCAACACGGTAATCTATGTAAGAGCGCCCTCCAAAAAGTGGGACTACGGATGAAATGTGAATTAGGTGTTGCTTTTATCATGTCTCATAACACAACTGAAATTGAAAGTCATGGCACTTAACATTTGATTAGACAGCCCTATATTTTTTACATAATGTATAATTAATCTGTAGAAATCACTGACACAACATTTCATTGAGGCTAAGAGAAGGCTGATCTTC